AGACTATCAATTTTTCGCCTATGTCGAAATGTTGCCTGAATTGTGGCGTCTACTGTACATACACAGAGTAGGGTGTGAACATTTGAGAAAGCTATGTCAGTTTCGGTTGAGAGAAGTGAGAGATAGCGTTGACGGGAGAAGGAAGACTAGAGGTTGGAAGGGCGGTCTGGGTGCTAGCACTCATAGAGGGACTGCCCTGCTAGATCGGAAAGCAACTGCAGCCTGGGTTCGATGGACTGTGAACGATTGAGAATCAGCATATCGCTTCACGACAGGATGTCGGTGACTGCATTCTCCATCTCGTGGTCACATAAGATGGCAAAATAAAATTCACTTGGAGGCGAAGGAAAGTTGATGATGATAGAGCTCAGCCGCATCTCATGTTACTGGTCTCCAGTCATAGCGGGTGGTTAGGGTTATTAATGTAAACCCTAGCAGCTGCGATCTTCAAGCCTGGTTCCGACTGCGGGCGTGTTATTGACCGTCGCTTTCTTGCGAACTTCGTACCACCTTTGGTTGGCTGTCCCAGAAGCCGACTCCAGGAAGCCTTCACAAGTGAGCGCTCGCGTGGGGCTAGTCATTACAGTTGTACTCAGCTCACTACAGATCGAATCCAAGGTTATTGGCAAAAAGTTGAAGTCCCCACGATGCGGAATGTTACTGTGCACAGTACCTTGAGTTGCTGTCTCAAGCAGCAGTGGCGAAGCCGAGGCTGATGTTGACTGCACCCAGTCACGACTGAGAGTGACCGCCTGTCTGTGTGTGGGGTAGGTGAGAGAGATGACAGTTGCTCTTACACGATTGAGGAGCAAGCTCAAGTAGTGTGCTACCGGTGTGTTACATTGCCCGAGGCGGTGTCGGGTATTGAGACCCCTCCTGCATCGACCGTCGGGTGGCGCGTTCAAGTGGCCTTTAGGCAGGCATGCTTATTTGAACGTGCGTGTATACGCGTGTGGATGTCGGTCAAGGATGTATGTTGGGCGAGACGAGCTACCGACGACAGAAGACAACGTTGATGTACAAGCAGAACTAGTAACAGTAAAGTACCATCTGCTATCCCGTTCTGCCTTCTCTTCCTAGCACGTAACTGTGGGAGGGGGGAGCATAACCGGTGTTGACACAGGAACACACTCGGTTGCAACAATGGCGACACAGTTGACCTCTCCAGACGCGGATGAACACTCAAGATCACAGCAAGTGACAACACAACATGGGCAGTGTAGGTCAAATGTGGAAGATCTTTGAAGCACAGCATGCGACTATCATTGATCTCCTCACAATGCTGCAGGAGGACTTGAAGCAGACAGGCAGTGATGACAGAACGAAGGGGCTGGAGGACATGGTCATCACAAAAGCAACAACAGAGGCAACTGCAGCAGCTCACCAAGTCAGAAACAGTCGGCTACAAGGATGCAGGACCTCTGTGGAGGAGGCGTTGAACAAGGAAGGGGTCAGCATGGTTGGCCGCCCGCCACAAACTCTAGACAGGCTTCAGGCAACATGTGGGCGTACGGTAGCTCAGAGCTCCGCATAATTAACCAGTCGTCCAGCGTAAACATCTCCATATACAAGCACTGATTTCGCAGCAGCGAAATGCGTATGCGCGCAGAAAATTACTGCGTTCTAATTTCTTCTTTCCTTCTTCATTACCCCTATGGAGTAAGATTCTATGGCTTTGGCTGTGTATGCCGCAAGTAGGGGGTCAGGACATTATGCTAAAAGTGCGCGACGAGCAACCGGTTAAGGTCACGGACGCATGCACACAGGCTCCTTGACCTGAATGGTCACCCTTCACCCCCATGCCAGATAACCTGCTGTGTCAACAAGACTCCCCACTTGCGTGTTACCTCCCGTTCTCCGTACGCGACCGGCCTACTAACAGCCTTCTGTTTGGCATAAACAACTGTCACTTCAACCACACAGTATGGCCCTTCTGAGAAATATTGTTTACGAGTCTCGGGCTTGTCATTGGCCCGTTTTAAATACACTTGTATATGAAATGAATCCGACAAAGCAAAGGAAGACTGGAATGGCCATTTCTGGATCGTTAACCGTCATCCGCCAGTCATACCCAATCTCAAGGTTTGGAAACGCTGAGATTTGAGCCCGGGACCTGTGATCATTGAGTTCAATACTCTACCACTAGTCTACGGGCTCCTTGCTTTGTCGGTGGAGATCGGGAATATGATGAATATATGTGTTTCGCCGATCTATTAGAGGAACAGTTAAGTTCCGCTTTGCCCATTTGTATATTTCGGCCCCAGGAGAACAATTCATTTGCGAGCAGCTGAGGTGTGAACATGTGTCTATGAAATGGCTGGATTGGCTAATCGACTTTTAAGGTGAATTTTCTCTCTTCATTCTGGATCAGTTTTATTGTTTTTTGTTCTGATGCTGTCGCATGCACCCATCGACAAAATCTCACATTAAAGATGACTTGTATGGCCACCTACACAGGATGTGGAAATGGAAACTGCCCACAATATACGTGGCTTTGCATCAGATTGGGCTTAGGATTAGGCTGAGGGTTAGTGTTACGCTTAGAGTTGGGTTTAAGGTCGGTGTTATTTGCGGCTGAACAAGTTTGGAATCCTCCACATCTCTTGTCCAACAAAACTCCCGTCCGACCTGCAGAATGATTGTTTACCTCTTTCGATTGCTGCCCCCTTCCCCCCTGGACTGCTGGCCGCCCATGACTGACTGACAGCACATAACTGAATACTCCGCCCCCCGCCCTTGGCCCCTTCTTTCGATTTTCACATTTTGACACTTTCACATTGTCACCTTTCCCATGGAGGTCACCGCGAAGTGACATGCCAGCTGCCCGTTCCCCCTTCTTGATCCAGATGCCGCGGCTACCCCGAGAACCAATCCTCAAGCCATCCCCCCCCATCGCTGACGCTTTCATATTGCCTCTGTCCATGACGCCCCCCGTTCGCGCTGGTGTTTCACACCAATCCTGATGCTACGTGAATCACGTAAGAGCGGAGTCACTCCTCTCCCCC